CCGTCAGTGACGCAAACTGACAAAAGCCTAATACACTTGGAAAATTACCAACCATGTGCCTTGTAGTAGGAGCGATTGCTAACAGAGCGGAGTGTTTGTTTTTGTCGGCTAATGTGTTAATGTGTTTAATTGATAACATGCATTGATTAAGTATATTTTTTTCCTCATCACAATTTGAACCACATTTTAAAGAATCATACTACTTCAATTAAAAAAATAATGGAAACTTTTAACCTTAAACAATCGATTGAAGAGTATGAAAGCGAGTGAAAGAGAAAAATAAAATAAAAATATGATATAAAAATAAGTCATTCATTTATTTTGGGTAATGGCAAAGCGTAAAATTATTAAGCTTAATTGCTTCCGCGAATTTAGGGCCTATAATTATTGTCATAGACGCGCACATGCGCCGAGTAACGCCGGCGTATTGCTCCTAGCACACGGCAATCAACTCCGGTAGTATTTTAAATAAATATGATTCCTACCCTTGCACGGTATACCTACGACCCCTGAATATGGTCTCATCAACGATGACCGCGATATACGCTTAAATGCAAGGTTGTATAAAGGCCAATTACTTGATAAGTAGTACCCTCAATCAAACGCAAGACATTTGGCGCCTTTTTTGGCTTGGCAGTCTATGATATTTGTCGCGGTGAAAGATTATTGTCCAGCTACAGCCGCCGACTGAACTTGCCTATTTTCTTTTATCTGTTTTTTTTCTATCATTACGGGTAGAAAATACTATGCCGTATACATTGTAAATAGTCAGGGGCGTAAATAGGCACTGAAAGAAGAATCTGTTGATTAGTGTTTCTTATTAAATGCATGCTGACAACATCCTGCAAAATACGATGGTATTAGAGCGATCGTGGGAAATACGGTGGCCTTTACATCGATCTCGGACAACATGCGAAATACGACGGACGGCTTCGGAGAATTCGTGTTCAACAATTCATAAACCTCCACATCGTGTCATTTTGTTTGTCTCCAATGCAGCTAAAATGAAATCGGAAACCATTATTACGACATAGGCATCGTTGCAAGCATGGTACATAGATAATTACACGCTGTGTCTAGACAATTTGGAATCTAACAAATAGAAAATAAGTGGGCTCCTCAGACAGTTGATATGACGAGTCACAACACACTCATTATGTTCAACTTAACAATTTCTTCCAAAGAGAAATCGCAATTATGAGGATTGCCATCCAATTGATAACAAACATTTTTGAGCTTCGTTTGTTGAAAAGTTTTTTTTTTTTTTAAATGCCACCTGGGTCTCAAGAGTGTCAGCATCTGAGAGCTGGGTGCCTGTCAGGAAGGGGTGTATGTGTAACATGTTGGTACGACAGTGGGTATAATCCAACCCGTCGACCACACCCTAAACTTACACACCCATCAGAAGGAAACTCCGTTTATGTTTCGTTGATTTGTACTTTTGAATATTTACCTATCATATGCAAGCCCCTGGTCGTATCAAATCCATTGGGTGGTCAATTTTAATTCTTTATCACTATCACCATACCATATTTCAGGACTTGTGTAGAAACTTGATTATCTAACATTCAATAAATATAGGAATATATCATGTGCAGTAAATGTGCAGTAATTATTCGACAAATGCCGAGGTTTCTTGTAATCAGAGTGTATTTACTTGTTGGCTTAAAGATGGCAAAACAAGCCTACGACTTCGTTGTAAGCACCATTTGATTTTACGAGGTAGAACTATAGAGAACGCTAAACACGCGTGTCAAGCCTTACAATATGGGAAATAGGGCGGGCTAACGAGCAGAGAAGATCGGGTCGTAAACCAAATCATGTAGAAAGTAATAGAATATTTAGAAAATGAATTGTAATAGACAACATTTACTGTGCGTAATGAATTGTTGCTTGGGGGTAATATAAGCGATTATATTATCTGCGATGGGATGAGAAAGGCGTAAATACGAGCAGGGAAATTCTTTGCTCTCGCCACTCAAGCAGTTTTATGACGGAACTCAATATAGAAGTAGATAAAAGGAGACATGCTCCGAAATGCCATAAAAATGGCAATTTTCCACAACATGAACACACAAGCACACATTATTTTCTTGGGTTAATCGAAAGAGGGAATTATGAGGACGTGGTGATTCGTGTTCACGACTAGGTCGTGAAAGGTGCACCAAAGTGCAGACACTCGACTTTATACTCGTAAATCAGTGCGTGTGCTTACTCCAGGCATGCAATGTGAAGTGTCACAGTGATGGAGCTCCAAGATGTCATTATTCCTGTTTTGATGAACCAAATAATTAGTCTTTCACCATTCTTCTACTACTTGACTTAGCTGACACGCATGGGTGGTTCGCATCAAACAGGCCGGTGGTCGATACTCAAATGTTTCCTTGCAAATATACTTTTAACTTTGTCGCATGAAATGTGGCCGAATTATTTTTGCTCATACTGTTTGACAGCTATTATTTTGTCGCCCAATGATTAAATAAAAAAAATAAACAAATAGATGTTGCGCATATAAAAGTATCTCCAATTGACAAAGTTGATATAACCGTTTATCATTAGACATTCGTGGCATGTATACAGATAGGCATGTTGGTGAAACAACAAACACACAAACAATACCAAGGCAACATATTGTGGTATACTAACATGAATTTCTAACAAAAAAAAACGCGATTTCTTTATTTCACACAATTTCAACTCTCGACATTTGAGAAGAAGTGAAATCACAAACCGTGAATGCCTAGAAGCGATCCGAAATTCTTGCTGTTCATAAAATAGAACGCGCCGTACATGGCGTATTTCGTTTAGGTATGCACACAACAGCGTAAATAGTGCGACAGGGGGAAGCCGTAATAACACCGGCGGCGGCAAGAGAAAGACTTTATCCGTGTTTGAAAGCGACGAAAATCTCATTCGCGGGAGTAAGGTCATGAAAGGATGCAGATCTGCCGAGCAAATAAGGGATAATCAGGAGGAAATGGATGGGATCGGAAGATGTAACGAGTTCAGTTTACTTATCTTGGTTAATCCATGGTTGGGAGTGGATAGAGGGGCAATGAAGTTGTAATTACACTGCTAATTCGTTTTTCAGCTACATTAAACATCACATTTGATTGGTGAACGAATGTCATTCGTTAAATAGAATGAAGAGATTGTCATCGTTAACTGTTGTTTTAGCAAGTTGTTTCCAACCATGCTGTACTAATTATGATTAGATGGCCCTGTGACTACCTCTGGCTTCCGTGTTGTGTGGATCACATGATTGCATTGTGACGTATGACATTTATTTAAAACAATGTAATGACGTCATATAAACGTGCTGCCTGTGTGAGTAAAATATAGTATGGTTTAAAATAAACATTTAGCATTACACGACATTATGTATATAAAATGTATATGATAGCAGCGGAATCCCTCTATTGAAACTGGTGAATGCGGCAAGTCCCGTCTGTGGTAGAAATCACTGTGTGTGTTCGTTTCACTTTGACCTACAGATAGGAGCGATCTATTCTACCCTCTTTGTATTTCCCAATATTATTCAGCATCACAGAATTCGTCAAACAAAGTAATTAAGTCGAACAAGCATTGGAAACACGGCTACCCCTTGCTGATGTTACGGATAATAAGACGACATACAATGATCCTCGAAAAAAAACGATTGACAAACTTGCTAATAGTCTTCAATGCTTGCTTAAGCCTGTTTCCCTCTTCACATTGCACTGACGAGCATTGAAAGGAGAGACACAAAGCACACTGATGAACGTAGGATTCTGTGTTTTGAAAGAAGGGTAATAATAGGAGCTACTACATCGAAATCCCACCTGAGATGTGGAGATTAAGCGGCGAAATATGAGAATAAACTCGGGGAAACAGCATCTCAATTCTCCCTAGCAGATGGGTCACTCCGCGCATTACTACCGTGATGCAAAACTTCGACTCGGGGTAAAGTTCCGGGCGCCGTACTGGCGGAGTATATCCACATAGAACAAACGAAGGTATTTAGACATAGTCAGTTTTCTTTCTTTAAAATTAAATTAAATTGAGACATGGCTACGAAATAAGAAAATTACTAATCCTGCGTAATTGTTGGATGGCTCCTCAACAGAAAAATGTCAGTGCTGTGAGGATTTAATTTGTATTGCGGACCGTGAGTGCACGACTGCACAGGTTTGTTAGTGATATACGCGTCCCTTCTCTGGTCAAAGTATCACTAGTTAGATTTCCTCTATGTTATGATAACATCAAAAATGGGCGTTAAGACAGAAAAAACAATTCAAACAGGTTCCATAATCTGTTTAGCTTTAGTGAATGACAGCCGCACTTGAAGCCGACTACTGCGCCACCCAGTCACAATGGCGGCCCATTCAATACGCGAATGATCAGCGGCAACAATACATACCCTAATCGCCTACATCAACCAATAGAATAACGTCACTCATCGTGAGTGACAACCTGATTACTAAAAGCCAAGAGAAAGAAATATATTACGAGCAATTAGCGACAATTAGGGCGAGTTAATTAGCAAATATAAAAAAACATTACAATGTTTTGTTCACGAAACACGTTAGTTTGTACAAGCTGAATTCAACCGACTCGGACACAAACAGTACATTGTCGGGCGGCAGAGAAAACGTTAGCACCTAATACATGTGGGTAGACTGGGGTTTACGAGCGGAGGCGACTGAAATGCCACGAAGTTTGGGACTATACCATTTCTCGACTCCACAATACACAGCGTTCACAGCAGGTGGTTGCTGTCATACGTACAATAATTGGTAAACAATAGCAAACAAACACACATGCTCTGTTAGAGTATTTGATTCATAAACATTTGCATACAGATAATAACAGAGGAACGGGCCAATGAGAATCGCCATCTAGTCCGTGCCATCAACGCGACACCGTTAGAGGGTGTGTACTTCGACAAATACACCACTCCTACGTTTGTACTTTCAACAACACACAAATCAAACAGAGGCAAACAGTAGTTGGATCTGCTACGATCAACGAAACCGGCAGGCAACACCGAACATGTGTTCTACCAGTAGTTCGAGTCTCATCCCGTACGAATTCAAATCAACCGAACAACCAACGATGTATGCTGCCTGGGGAGGCAGTGGCATGACTCAGGCTGCGTTTGAGTTTCATCGTGCACAAATGTACAACTATAACAGTCGACTGCGATACGCGGGGATACCAGGCATACCCACGGCGACAGCGCACGGAATTTCACCATACCTTCACCACCATCCACACGGAGCTGATACGTTCACGGCGTTGATGGCTTTCAACAAAGTTGATCCGAGGGCGAGACTGATTCATGAAGAGCCGAAACCGAGTCACAGCTACATAGGACTTATCGCTATGGCTATTTTAAAATCCAAGGATAGAAAAATGGTTTTAAGCGACATCTATCAGTACATTTTAGATAACTATCCGTATTTCCGTGCAAGGGGACCAGGTTGGAGAAACAGCATTCGACACAATTTATCTCTGAACGACTGCTTCGTAAAAGCGGGGCGAAGTGCAAATGGCAAAGGCCACTATTGGGCGATCCATCCAGCTAATATAGACGACTTCACGAAGGGTGATTTTCGCCGACGCCGGGCTCAACGGAAAGTGAGAAAGCACATGGGGTTATCTGTGCCAGACGACGAAGACAGTCCCAGTCCGCCACCAGTAACATCTGCCCAAATGAAATGGGTGAACCCGTCGTTCTTGCACAGTGGTGTAAGTTCGATCGGTGAAAATGCTGCCACGATTACCGGTCACCTACACCAGCCAACAAAAAAGAGACTATTCGACGTTGAGTCACTACTAGCACCCGAGACGAACGAAAACAAGGACAAATCGGCTGACGAAGACGACGAGGTTGAGGATTGCAAAGACACACTTGAACATGACCTGAAGGCGGCACAGATTGAAAGAAATCAACCAAATACTGAAACCGCAGAAAGAATATCTGAATTCAAGTCCGAGGAAAGATCCAGCCCGAACACTGAAACTTGCCATTCACCCACTGCCAAGAACTTACGACAATCGCCCCAAACTAATTTACGCAGCTCCTGGACAGCACCGACATTACCGCCTAGGACGAATGGCTGGCCGGGCAGCGCTTGGAGCATTGTCACGCCGTCAACCAGGACAACGTACTCGGCGGGTATCACGCCGATCCCGTACGGTACCCCAACCCCATCACCCGGAATGGACACAGTGCAACAGTGGCAAGAGACATTCTCGCGGATAATGGCCAAGTCTTACAGTAAGAATTTGCAAGTAGAATCTTAAATTACCTGAGCTGACAATATTCTCAAAACGTGTGTTTTTAAAAAAATATGGTGCATATTTTTGTAGAGACTCATTTAGAAATATCCATACCAGATTTATAAGCACGTATATAATGTAATTTACTTATAAAACGGCAGTCTTCACATTTATATAAGTTTATTTATTAATGCCTTTAGTACATAAACTAATGCAGTCATTTTATACCAATGTATCAGTCATCGAATTATTTAATCAAATCAGATTTGTTGTAAAAGAGAAAACTTATAAAACACACGTAATATTATTTGTATGCAGATATATAAAAATATTGTTTTTATCAAATTTTTTTTAGTTGTTATGTGCAAAGTTGGGGAATTACGATGTTAAATTAATGCTTATTGTACATAGTGGTATATAGACAAAGTAAAATAAGGCGCTTTCCTTTTTTTCTTGAATAATCTTCTTGTAGAGTATATTTTTATCTATTTTAAGTTTCATGATATTCCTGTTGTTTCAAGCGATTTCAAAATAAGGAACGAATTGCTGCTATGGAGATGGTAAAGACTTGTCATTTCATCCAGTACGGACAAACGTAAACACGATCGACTCGATTTATCAGTCAACTGTGTTGACCGTGAACATTTCTTTGCCCCTTATTATTGTATCTGGAGTCAGTTTCTTCATTCATAAGATACACAATTTATCTTATTTAAAAACCCTAATAAAATTGATATATGTAAGCAAATAACGATGTTTCCCTTTGTCTATCGTTTTTTAACTGCATTGATTTCATTTCATAATACAATCGGAGCCCTCTTTGCGTTAATGAACGCACGCACTTGCACACGCAGGGAGGTACCTTCCAGTATCACTACACAAATTATAGCATTGAATGCTATAAAAATCCAATACCGTGCTAATTGCTACATCGTTCGTACTGTTCAGTTCTGTATGACTATATGATTGAGAAACGAATTTCCCGTATTTCAAAATGAAAATGGGTATAGCAATGTGCACATGGCAGTTTTACCGCCAAGCTTCGCGTTAACAATTATCGAAATACTGAACACGCCGTGTTTTGACTTTAAAAAAGAAAAAGTTGCGTCTTTAACGCAAGGTTTACGCAAGAGCGCCGACGAGACTGCAACGATACGACACGAGTAAGCTGTTAACGATGGTCTTCCACGTTCAATCTCGTTTTGAAACCAAAATTGAAATAAAATGATACTGAACAATTCCTGACCACGTGTTTATGTGGCCGCCAAATAAACTGTTTGTTTGTTTGAAATACAAAAAATAAATAACTCGCCGTGTTGATTTGATCTGTTATTACGAATAAAGTAACAGATCTTTCGCAACAATCTGTAATCTATGGTGTCATTTCAAACCTTGTTGAACCACTCGTGCTCCACCTACCGCGCAATCCGACGGTCATCATTAACACATCGCCATCGGTTAGTTTTACGAGAAGGCGTTCAGGCTCAGGCTGATCACGCTTTTCATGGATCGCGAAGAAGCAACGAAACACTGTTTTTTACATTTTTCGCCAGAATTCGGAAAACGTGATGTTCATTTTGAAATAACCATTGATGTAGATTTTTACTTTGTGAAAACAAATTACAATTTCCTATTTCATTGAATTCAATTTAAGTGCATCGTCCACGGTTGTAAAATGAAATATTGAAATAGCATCTCGGAAACAAGAATTCCGGAAATGTCCCGCGGTTGGCGATTGTCCTCATACACAAATACGTTCATCGTCGTGTTGTTGTACAGCATAGTTTCGCATTGTGTAACTTTTTATACATGACGACAACATGAGAACACATTCGGCTAACAGATTCAGTTCCCAGTATAAAATAGTAAAAATAACGCGAGTGTTTGTCCAGAGTTCGAAGCGATGGAGATTGGGAAGGCGTATCGAGCCGCCGCGTTACACCGAGTGTGTTCACAATCTCGCACGAGTGCGTGAAGTTTCAATAACTTGATCTCTTTCTGTGGTTTGAAGCCGGATATACCACGGCAATCACCGTCAACTCTAGTAGCTACGATACAACGGCGAGTACACTGTAAATGAGATGGAAATTTGTCCACGGCTGACAACCGATCGACTCGAATAAACCCACACATTTTACTACTGCGTCGAGTTGAAACAAAGCTACATTTCAAGAAACATTCCCGACTGGCCAATACACGGCAATTCCATCTCGACGCTAGACTACTGTCCTATTCTATACACATAAGTTGTGTTTATTTCATTCTTCTCAACCCCTATCCCTCAATTAGATGCATTCACAGCAAATAAGACGCGAGACACATAAAGTCAGTATACAAAATGAAATAGCTCTGTCACCATTATGATCCAGTCCGCTTAATTGAAAACCCTCCCCCAACTTGGAGCCGAACGCGATAAGTGTGGTCAAATTTGAGTGGACAAAGATCCGAACCCAGTCTACCCCGCCTAATGCACCAATTCGCCATTGTTATCCTTTGTTGAACAATGCAATCTGTGAGAATACTCTGGGGGTAGGGCATTTACAAAGAATATATTGACTGTTTCGAACTTTCTTGGCCTAGCCCGTGTGTTTCAATGTGTTCATTTATACTCCGCGTTGGTTTACGTGTTCTACGTGGAGGATCGAACTTACTTACTTGCACGATAACCCAGCGACGAATACTGCTGAAATTCCTGTGATTACTAATTGTCAACCGTTTATTTGATGACGTGTGATTATTTTCGATATTTCGAGTTCGCATTTTTATCAAGGGTTACTAACAGTACGTAACAATACTAGTTTTGGGGTGACCGGCGTTTTGCATGAACAACACATTCGTCGGTACTTCATCGCCGAAATGATAAGATTTGCATTCGCCCAGGCGTACGTAATATATGACGTGCTTTCAATGGCATATGGTGACTCCACTTTTTATGGCCGATTGCAGGCTGTGTTTTGCGATAGCGTTAAGAAAAACGAAAACGGTAATGAGGCAACTGGGGACCCAAGAAACCGAAATAATTAAATTATAAACTATTTGTTGGTGTATATCATTTAAAAAATCAACTAGGCTGAACCAATGCCCCAGGCGAAAACAGTTTTATTAATTGCTATGGGCAAAATGTACGAGACGAAGTTACCCACTCATTTTAATAGGCAGGAGGGCGGTGTTCAAAAGCTGCAACCTGTTCGTCAGCAACACATCGCCAATCACTCTGCAGGTTCGCAATTAATGTTCGCATATCTAGCATATATAGAGGTGACGAGGAATAAATATAAGTCTTAAGCGAGGCTGTTAGCGGGCGGGTTAAAACGAGCGGTATGCCTTTGGCGTAAGGCGTTTGCCCACCGTGGTACACTCTACGATGTAGTGTGCACATTTATTGGACCATGCACTGCGGAACGCATTGAATAATATGATTTGGTTTAAACTCGGTCCATCGTGCTCATTCAGCGTGTAAATCTAGTGTGCAAATAGAATGAAGCCCACAAGACGCGGAGACATGATTTGAACTCATTTAAATGCCGCGATGGTAACACCGAAGTCGTTGTTTACTACGTCACTGATTGCCGAGTATATTGTGTTGTTCCTGACTACGTCATCATAGATTTACATAATTTCATGCAACCTAATTTGAATATATTTGGTAAAATCATGGAAATAACTATTGTGATGTTTTAGTGTCAATTAGCTTATACTAAACCCTTATTCAATGGGTATATGGGTTAACCCCTTATCTAATCGATATATTGGGTCATACCACGTGAATCTAAAAATACATAAGGGTTTCAATGGTTTGATGAGGAGAGGTGATAACCAATGAATCGATAGATATATGAGAGGATTTAAAATAATGCCCCCTTGCCTTTAGTTTGAAATGAAGTTATTAGACCTAGCGTTTACATTTAGTTCTACATGTTTATTTCAAACAATGTTATTTTATGATACTAGCGCTATTTTTGATATTGTATATAATAACGTCACAAATTAAGCTCGTTATATCGTTATTGTCACAGTGGCTCAAATCGGACCAGATATGCTTTTTCGCATTATCTGGGGAATGTTACTTACATTTTGATAGAAATTACAGTAATCAACACTGTCAAACGTAGAATGGCTAACGCCATGGCAATGTACTGGAGCTTTTTTATTTACGTTTTCATAATGTCAGAAGAAAATTAATTAATTTCAATTAAACGCCTAAACATAGTGTATTGTATTACTATTTATAACAATATTTCACAGTAACAATAAAAGCAATGTAATAAAGTCGTCAAAACGTGATTAATATAACTCTTTATAATTATGAACAACAATTTAAAACATATTTCAGTTTTCCATTAACAACCTTCCATCAAACCATTAGTACATTTACCATACATATTTAGATACAATGACACACGTTCCCATGACTACAACATCCAACGCAACTCTCTCCCACCTGCTACACAATTTTTAAGCGCCCAGCTCGCCTACCATTTCCACTCTCCCATTGGTCAAACATTCCCAACTTTTCACAGTTGAACCTCCACCAGCTACACAATGCCCACAATCTCAATTAACCACCATTTCCACTCCCTACTGGCACAGCAATTCCAAGCTCCAAAAGCTCAAGCAATTCCAAATGACAGTTAGTATTAGTTTACAATATCATATGTGACCTTACCTGTCTACTTACCTAACATTACTTATTTGTCTACTCACATGAAATTACTCACCTGGCTACTCACCTGACAGTACTCACCTGTCTACTTACCTGTCTACTCACATGACATTACTCACCTGGCTACTCACCTGACAGTACTTACCTGTCTACTTACCTAATACTTTTTACCTGTCTACTCACATGACATTACTTACCTGTCTACTCACCTGACAGTACTTACCTGTCTACTCACCTGACAGTACTTACCTGTCTACTCACATGACATTACTTACCTGTCTACTCACCTAATACTACTTACCTGTCTACTCCCCTAACATTACTTACCTGTCTACTCACATGACATTACTCACATGGCTACTCACCTGACAGTACTTACCTGTCTACTTACCTAATACTACTTACCTGTCTATTCACCTAACATTACTTACCTGTCTGCTCACCTAACATTACTTACCTGTCTATTCTCAGAGCATTTCTTACCTATCTACTCTCCTACATTACTTACATGTCTGCTCACCTGACAGTACTTACCTGTCTACTCACCTGACAGTACTTACCTGTCTACTCACCTGACAGTACTTACCTGTCTACTCACCTAATACTACTTACCTGTCTATTCTCAGAGCATTTCTTACCTGTCTACTCCCCTAACATTACTTACCTATCTGCTCACCTGACATTACTTACCTGCCTGCTCAGCTAACATTTCTTACCTATCTGCTCACCTGACATTACTTACCTGTCTATTCTCAGAGCATTTCTTACCTATCTACTCTCCTACATTACTTACCTGTCTGCTCACCTAACATTACTTACCTGTCTATTCTCAGAGCATTTCTTACCTATCTACTCTCCTACATTACTTACCTGTCTACTCTCCTACATTACTTACATGTCTGCTCACCTGACATTACTTACCTGTCTACTCACCTAACATTACTATTTTTGTCTACTCACCTGATAAGTAAATAAAATAAAATAAAATAATACTGCTAATTTCAAACTTTCTCTCTCCTTGTCTTCATTTACTTGTTACTGTAAGCCTCAGTGTATACGTAACCATGGTAATATCGATAAAAGCA